CACGCAGACACACTACACTACACCGCACGCACGCACGCAGACACACTACACTACACCGCACGCACGCAGACACACACACAGCACACCACGCGCGTGCGCGCCCATATTCATATCGCATCATTAATACGAAACACCATTTTAAAAAGAATACAACTTCATACTGGTTTCTTTTCAAATTAATGTGATCCTTTTTTTTTCGGTGTTGTAAGAATATTAAAGAAATCTGAAAGAATATTAAACTTTGGCGTTTTTAAATCCCATTTCCATCAGGTATCTATTTCTCTTCCGTTCTGAGACTTATCAACACAAACCTGTAGTGTGCTTTCTTATTGAGAGTTTGAATTGTTTATGATAGAGCCGTATTTAATTTCATTGTCTTCATGCAACATACTTCACTTGCTATCATTTCTTCTCTGCTTCTCCAAATACTTTACACTCCAATGTCAAGTAGGGCTCAACACTGCAAAATTGGTGTTCCACTCTGATGCTATCATGGCCATTGTTGTAAAAGATGTATTGTTAGAAATTTTATTAGAATACTAATCTGATAAATGTGTGTTGATATACACTTAACAGATGTTTTTCATACCTTTTTTATGATTGCTAGATAGCTACAGCATGAATAGCCAAGCATCCACTCTTCTTTCCCAGTTTGCATTTCAACAATTTTGTCGAAAACAAGAGGCTCTTTCCAACAGAGAGAATAGATTGCAAACAGTGCAAAGGTACATTGTATTTGTTAGGTGATTCCCAATTGTAAGAAAGTTTTTTTGTTAGGATTTTAACTAGTTCGAAGTGTGGTGATGTGAACCAAAGTTATTTTCATTCTTTCTTAATCAAAATGTCATTTCTTTTTTGATCCAAAACTAAGAAATTGCCACTGTGTTCTGTGCGTTGAGGTGGCAGGCTATACAATTTAAATAAAGAGCTGATGGGAACATAGGACATGAAGAATTAGGAGTACAAGGGTTCATAGTCTCTACCATACAACTTGTCCCTTGTTCTGTGAAGCCACCAATTCAATTTACTCTTAATTCCAAACTAGTTCAATTTTATCCAAAATTCTCCTGTGATGTCAATTCTCTTTTGACATCTTCTCACTTAATCTTGTAAGTAATTGTAATTACAGTTTTTCATCAGCAGACAACCATGTCTAATAATAAGATTGTTTTGTTGCTGAATCACAGATCTTCCTTCTCCACTTATGATTTCATGATCTTTCGTCACATTTATTGCTTTTGGAAATCATGCTACAATTGTTTTAAAAAGTTTTTCAGTCATACCAACCATATATTAAAGTACGTGTAATATATATTACCATCTTGCTACATCAAATTGACTCAACACATTGAAATTTATCATTATCTTTTTCATTATGTAAAAATGTAAGGGATTTGGTCTACTGTCATTACTCTTGCTTACTATGTAAAATTATGGCACTAATTAGACCATGAACTCGTATTCTTACTTTCACCTACATTATTATAAAGCATCTAGCTTTCCTCTTCCCTTTGGATAGATTCTGAGCTGCACAGTTAGGATTGTGTTGTAAGAAGAGAAATTAATTTATTGGTGTTCTCAAAATTTGCACAAAGAAGTCAAACCCTTCCTTACCTTTACCCATCACCTTAGTGAGTTTTTTACATTAGTATTGCTTCCAACATGGTGGTTTGGTGCGCCAGTCCATATCAATGAATTCACAGATTTCATTTTGGAAGTAGTGATGCGCTTCGTTAATTTTTAAAATCAGAAGTATCTGGGAAATATAATTTAATAATAAAAATTATCATTGCTTTGTTTATCCTCTTAGATGCCATTGATACATTGATTGATTTTTCCAGTAATTTGATGTAAATAGCTCAGTTATTATTTGTTATTTTTAATGCATGCATAAGCTATTGCTAATACCTATGCTTTCTTGTGTTTTCTTGTGATCGTTGGTGTGATATGGTTCTAGTGCGGTGATATAGGTTGAAGGTTTAATTTCAAATGATGTTCTTCCCCACTTAATTAAAACGTTATTCTTTTTTTAATCATTAACATTCATTTTGTTCATTTTGATGTAAAATTTGTGTAAAAATTAAGATTTGCCGTGTGTGTGTTTGTACAATACTTGGATTGAAAACACCTCAATAAAAAATATTCACTAAGTGATTATCAATTTAATATGATTTTTGAGTAAGAAAGAACAAAATTAGAGAGTGTAGCAGAGCAACAGAGAAAATTAATTGAAGATAAAGTCACTTTGGAAATTCTCTGGACCATTTGTAGTTGTAAAATAAAAATAAGAATTGT